GACATCATCCCTTTTAGGTAAAATGCAAATAACATCAACATACATGGGAGATTTATATACTGCTAGGCAGCATTTTTATACGGAACAAATTATAATACATAGTTTGAAACCACTGAATTTCATTGCAAAACCAACGTAAATGTAGAGTGGCAAAGAACCAGAAAATGCAGACAAAAGTTTGTTTATTTCTTAGTAGATTGCAACCTCTTGTTTACTGTAGATAAAATTCCTGTGGTTGCAAAATAATGTAGTTTGTGTGAGATTGACTGGATTAATGAAAAAAAAAAGAAGTAATATTATTTTAGCTGTATATTTGATCTTAAATATTTAAAAAGCTAAAGCTTCATCAGGGAGCACAGATCGCTTTGTCAAACTTGCTATGATGGTCTGTATAGCTTTCCCCATTTTGAGTGTCCACCAAGTAAGCTAGAAACTTGCTTACCCACCACTCATTCAGTAACCATTTATAGTTGTGACGGTGCCGAAGGAGTGGTGATTATAATCTGGGTGCTTGCAGTTACATGATCATTATTTGCGGATTGTTCCTGCCAGCTTCCCCAGAAGCACTGGGGAAGAAGTTGCTCTGGTTCTCCTCACCTTCATGTGTTTACGCCATGCTACCCATTCTCACCCAAGGCCTTTCTGGGCTTATTATGCTGCACCATCTAATCTGTGGTCTGTCTGTATAGGCACTCCTCGACTTACAACAGTTAGTTTAGTAACTGTTCAAAGTTACAATGGCAGTAAAAAAAGTAACTTATGGCTGTTTTTCAGAGTTATGATCTTTCCAACATTCCCCCTGGTCACGTGATCAAAATTCAGGTGCTTGGCAACTGTTCATATTTGTGACCGTTGCTGTGTCTCAGAGTCATGGGATCCACTTTTGTGACCTTCCAACAAAGTCAACGGGGAAGCCAGATTCACTTAGCAATTGGATTACTAACTTACCTACTACAGTGATTCACGAAGCAACTGTGGCAAGAAAGATCATAAAATGAGGCAAAACTCACTTAACAAGATGTTCTCACTTTGCAACAGAAATTTTGGGCTCAACTGTAGTCGTAAGTCGAGAACTACCTGTATTTATGTGTGGCCTGCCTCTCTCCTGCAATTCATGGCCTCCTCTGGCTACCCCCTGAAGCATCCCCCATGCCCCTTACCTTCCAACACTTCCTGCTTAATGACCTGCACGTCGTAGGATTAAAATGGCACCTGGGACTGTTAATATTGAACGATGCAGTTGTATGATGTTCTGCTTTTTGATTGCAATGCTTAGTGACAGCAATCCTGATGCCAACTGCTGTCATACTCCGAGGACTACTTTTATCAGATTATGATCATGCTGTCTGGGGAGGACAAATCTTTTGTTCTAACATCCTTGGACAACATCTGGTTGGAGAAAGTTGGGTGAATATCTTCGGTTAGATTTGGGGAAAAACCACACTCATATCTTTGTTTACTGATAAAACTCATAGGTAGCCTCCTATTTTAGTAAGCCCCCCTCACACGGCTGCCATGAGCAGGTAGTCCTCAACTTACGACTACAAAATAGCCCAAAATTTCTGTTGCTAAATGATACATTTATTGAGTTTTGCCCCATTTTACAATCTTTTTTGCCAGTTAAGTGAATCACCGCACCTGTTAAATTAGTAACACAGTTGTTAAGTGAATCTGGCTTCCCCATTGACTTTGCTTATCAGGAGGTTGCAAAAGGGGATCACGTGACCCCAGGACACTGTGACCGTCATAAATATGAGTCGGTTGCCAAGCATCTGAATCACATGACGATGGGGATGTTGTTAGGGGTTGCAAGAGTGAAAAATGGTGATAAGTTATTTTTTTTTCAGTGATGCTGTAACTTCAAACGGTCGCTAAACGAACTGTTGTAAGTCGAGGACTACCTCTATAACAAATACAGCCGAAAGATAAGGTTCCCAATGTTTTTCTGTAGCCCCTCATTTCCTGGGGACACTAGCAGCGTTTCCTCATCTATCCTATTTTCTGGGATCAGACAGAAATAGATTTTTATATGTGTGATGCTGCTGTATGGAAAAAAGTAATAAAAGCCTTTCCTTTCCAAACTGCAACACAACTGAGAATTCTGGAAGAATTTCCTATGCAGTTGGCACCTTGCCCACCAAAGGACATGGGCATTCCCAACTAACAGGCAAGTGCTTTTCACCAGGAGCAGCAGGATGGGCACAGGCAGTTTAGCCCAGCCTCCCAACCACTGCATCCCAGGTCAAGAGAAGACAAAAACCCTTCTACCTAACACATGCAATGATGGCAGCTGGCTCAAACTTTATAGGAGAGAGGGCACAAGAGAAGATTCTCTTCCCAGTTCCAGAGTAATAGCTAAATTTAATTATTTTTGTTCTATTAAATAAGGCCAAAAAAAAAGGCAGTTTTTCATAAGCTGGCATATTACTGTACCTAAAAAGGCCTAACAATCTAGCTCAAAACCTATTACACTTATGTGAAAATAAACTCTAACAAATAAAATGGGATTTGAATACACTGGAGGAAAAAACGATCCTGAAAACCCAAATGTTTGTTTACCAAAGTATCTCAAATTCTGGACCCTGGCCAAGGCAAGGGTCCTATTCTTTGAGTTGAGATTAATTTCTTCTCAACTTATAGACACATAGTTTTTCTGGCATATTACGGAAAAGGTTAGCCACTGTCTTCTTTGAATTAGCCTAGTAATCTCCCATTGAAGATCTAAGCCCAAATGTGTTTAGTTTCCAAGCTCATCGGTTTCAGCCAGGTAATGACACTAGTGGTCTCCAGTATTATTTATTTACATTTCATATTATAATACAATCACAGTTAATCAAACCAAAGGCTAATGTCCCATCTTGTAAACCTGTAAATGTATAACTGTCTTATAAGCCTGTGGGGATATATGACAGATAATAGATAAAGAAACTTAAGCATTATAGTAGCTCTCTTTCTCTTTCTCTCTCTCTCTCTCTCTCTCACACACACACACAGACACACACACAAAAGGCATGAAATCAAATTATACCCAGTGTCAGGAGCTGAAAGAAGACTTCTTCTCTAATTCTGTAATAACTTTACAGTTAAATCCTCTTCAACAGTTGAGTTTTTGCTAAATTGGTTTTAGTGCCTTTTTAAAAACATAAGCCTAATAGTGAAAAATTCTAAATCCATGGCGCTCACCCAAATTTATTAACCATGGTTTAGAAATCAGGAGCAATTTTTAAATTAATCTCTAATTTTAATTATGTTTTAACTAAAGCTGTCATTTTCTAATCAAGTATCAACTAAGAGAATTGTAGTTGATAATCATTTAGGACAATTGTTAACTAACCTTTTTTTTGTTCAGGAATAGCATTTTTGAGACACATAGAGAGAGGAGGGAGGGAGGGAGAGAGAGGGGAGGGGAAGGGGGGGGTGGCAGACAAACATTCAACTTTGCCTGATCCATTTCAACCATGGTTTTAAAAAGGGTGAAGAATATTATCAATCTGAGCGACTGGTGCAGAAAAGCTTTATCTGCAAAATGTATTTGTATTTGTATTTCTCAAAAAAATCCTAATATAAAAATAAACAATAATTTCTCAAGTTTGTGAATTTATCATTTTACCAATGTTGCACCTGGGATTATATACTAAATGCAATAACTCTTCACCATATATGTTTTATATATGATTGCTAATCAGATTTCCACATATAAGTATCACAAGCAAGATTTTTTAAAAAATCAGAATCTCAAAACATTCCTTGCATATGGAGGGACTGAGAGAAGAAAACACGACTATTCTAAAAAATTAAATTCGGATAAGCTATAAAGAAATTTAAACCTGCAGCAAAAAGTATCTTTTTCCATTATTTACACTATCAAGAGATATGATAATTAAAAGGAAAAAATCACAGAATTAAAGAACAGAGAGACCAGAAAAATAAGATGTAGAATTCCAATCCCCTGCAGGATGCTCCAGCCTTCACCAGAAGATTACTGGCTATTAACCTGCACAATCCCAGATCAAACAAGTACAGAACTGGAACATACATACAGCACACTAAGCACAGCTCCAAAGCTCAGTAAATGCTTCTCTTGTATAAGAAAAAAATATGTTATTAGCCTTAGGATTATTATTATTATTTTTTCAGGTAAGTGCACATACTGTATACATCAGATTTTGTTCATCTCTTTTTTTTTAAGGCCCCTATTCCCATAACACATCTACACAGCTAAATATCAATTGCAATACATTTCATATTTTAAAGGTTGAGGACAGTACTTATTTCTAAAGTTTTGCTCCATCGACGAAGCCTTAATTCAAGCCTTCCATCTGTTTAAGAAAAACATAAAAATAGTCTGTCCAGGTTTCCCACCAGAGGGACGCTGCAAGGCACCTTCTATTTATTTTGGGATGAGATCTTAAAACAGCATGCGTATGACCCGTTCCGTTTTGCCCGTCTTTTTTGGTTGTCAAATGTTCCCCCCTCCGTTTCTTCAATGACAGATTCGGCATGTACCCTGAACAAAATGTCTCCAGTCCCAATCCCCATTTTGAAGGGATCCTTAAAACTGCCTCTCCCACCAAATACCCCACAAGTGTGCCCCCCCACACACACACACATGGCAAGATTTCAAAAGTCATCCTAATAAGCTCAATAAAGGTCTGGTCTGGTCTGCCCTGCCAGTGCCCTGGGTTTAAGCCCAGCTGGCTGAGCAGAAGAAGCAAGCTTACCAGAGTTGGTGTACTTCAGCCTACGAAGGAGTTGAGAGACAAACACAGGCGGGGGAAAAAAATGCATGTTATTTTTAAGCGCTGTATTTAATCAATTAACCTGTTAGGCTGGAAGACATTCGCCAATGGGATGGAGAGGCACGATTTCCCCCCCACATACACACACAGGCACCCCCCCCCCATCTGCTTCACACACACCCCGCGGACACAAACCCTAACCCCACCAAGAGGGTGGCTCGATCACGGTTTAAGGTGACCCACCGAGAACCAACTTCTCACCTTTATCCTGAGAGCAAGACAGGATTTCTTCTTCTTTGGGGTTAGTCACCTGGGTGATAATGGACGGGTGGTCCATGGAAACTGAGTGCGCTTTTCACCTGGCTATTTATTCCCTCCCAGAGGCAGCTTCGGTGGGCACTTTTTAATTAAGCTTTTTTCCTTTTAGGAAATCGGGAGGCGGATTTATAAATGGGGCGACGGGGGGAGGGAGGGGGGGCAAACCACTCCTCCAAAACGAAGCCAAACCAAGCCACCACCCCAAAAGAGGGGGGGAGGGAAGGGGGAGGGGGTGGAGTAGCCGGCCAAGCACACCCCGGGCTGAGGGAGCCAAACCCTCCCCGGCAGGGGGGGGGAAAGGGGGGAGGGGTCCTAAAACTGCTCCCCTCCCCCGCCGCTGAGGTAAAAGGAGCGGCTAAAGGCGCAAAAATGCCCGCGCTGACACGGCAGGCCAGCGGAGCATCCCTCCCCTCGTCCGCCGCGGCCCAGGACAGCCGCCCTACTACGGCTCGCCCCGGGCCCCGGCGGGGTTTCGGGAAGGGCGGGCGACCCCCGGGCAGACCCCGGCCGCGCTCATGGCACCGTCAGGCGGCCTCGCTGGCTGGGAAGGGCCCGCGAGGGGGGGGAGGAGGAGGAGGAGGAGGAGGAGGAAGCGGCCCCCTCACGTGCCGCCCCCCATTACCTCATCCCGCCCCCGCCGGCTCTTTCCCGCGCTGAGGTGCGCCGCCGAGGGCGGGCGCCTCCGTCGCCGCTGCGCCCTCAGCGCCCCGGGTGCTCTGCCCGCCGTCCGCCCCGCGGCCCCGACGACGCCTCTCCCGCCGCCTCAGGCATCACCAGGGAGGCGGGAAGCGGCGCGGCGCCTGCTCACTCGGGCCGCCTCACAGCAGCCAGCCGGCCCCGGCGGACCAGTAAACAACGGGGCGGGGCCTCTCCGCCGCGCCTGTCAATCCAGCCGAGGGGCGGGGCCTCTCCGCCGCGACCCAGTCAATCCAAGGGAAGGAGAGGGTTAGGGTTAGGGCGGGGCCTCTCCGCCTCGCCCTGTCAAGCGGGCGGAGAGGCAGGGAGAAGGCGGGGCCTCTCCGCTTCGCCCTGTCAGAGAGGGGGCGGGGCAGCGCGGGGCTTGTCTGACCCGCCGGAGGGAGGAAAGGCTCGCCGCAGCCTGTCAATCCAATGGGAGAAGCGAAGGGAGGGAGGAATTTCTCCCGCCCTGGCTGTCAATCCAGAGGCTGGAAGGAGGACTCTGAGAAGAGGCGGGGTTTCTCCCCCGCATCCTGTGAATCCAGCGGGAGGAAAGGCTCTCCGCAGAGGGGGCGGGGCCTGCCCATCGCGGCCTGCCAATCCAGTGGAGTGGGTGGAGAGAGGGACGGGCTGGCCAGTTACAGGGGGCGGGGTCTCGGTGGAGGCGTCGGGGGGGGAGTAAAAGGAGTGATTCATTTAACAACTGTGGCAAGGAAGGTCGCAAAATGGAGCAAAACTCATGGGCTCCATTGTGGTTGTAATTCAAGGGCTACCTGTACTAAGGGCTGCATATCTTTGGCTTGCTAAAGAAAATAAGACGGTAAGGTAGAACCTTAACTAACAACCATTCATTTACTGACTGAAGTTACAGGAAAAAAGTGACAGGACTTTTTTTTTCCACACAACTCTTGCAGCATCCCCATGGTCACGTGATCAAAATTCAGACGCTCAGCAGGTGACTCATATTTATGACAGTTGCAATGTCCCGAGGTCACGTGATCCCCTTTTGCAACCTTCTGACAAGCCAAATCAATGGAGCCAGATTCACTTAACAACCATGTGACTAACTTAACAACTGCAGTGATTCACTTAACAACTGTGGCAGGAAAGGTCATAAAATGGGGCAAAACTTACTTAACAACTGTCTTGCTCACCCATGGAAATATCCCCTGGATGGAAGCGAAAGTTGGATTTTAAAGAAGCAGGAGCGGTCAAGTATTGTCACCTTAATAATAATAATAGTAATAGTAATAATAGTAATAATAAAGTTGGAAGGGATCTTGGAGGTCATTTAATCCAACCCCCTGCTCAGGCAGGAAAACCTATACCAGGGGTAGGCCACCTTGGCTCTTTTACAACTCGTGGACTTCAACTCCCAGAATTCCTGAGCCAGTCTGGCTCAGCTTGGAAAGCTCTCCCTTTCCCCTCAGCATGGCTGGCTCAGGAATTCTGGGAGTTGAAGTCCACGAGTCATAAAAGAGCCAAGGTGGCCTACCCCTGCCCTATACCATTACAGACAAGTGGCTGTCCATTTGTCCACCTTTGAATTTTGGCATTAGAGAATTTTGGCATAAGAATAGCAAGCATAGTTAAGAAAACAAACTGATGGGTCATTGAGCAAATAAACACAGAGTTCTCATTCGAGGCAGATATGACCTGGGTCAAATTATCCCACTTTGGACACATGATGTGAACATCTACCTCTCTGGAAAAAGTGTAAAGCTGGGAAAGATGGAAGGAAAAAGAGGACAACCAGCATCAATCACTCAATTGTCCAGTTCCCTCAAAAAGTCTGCAATGGTGGAAAACATTGAAGGAAAGTGGATGGACTCAGTTACAGAGGTGATGGGGGCATCATTGCAGAGCCTGAAGGACCAGATTGAGGACAGTTTCTCCTGGAGAAGATCAACCCATGTGGTCACTAGAAGTCAACACTGACAAAGGCACATCATGAATCCATTGCCCAGCTCCCTTGCAAAGTCCATAGTGATGGAAGATGTGGAAGGAAAGAGAAGAATATGACCACGATTAAGAGCAGGGGTCTTCAAACCTGGCCCTTTTATGACTTGTGGACTTCAACTCCCAGAATTCCTCAGCCAGGCACGGTGGCTGAGGAATTCTGGGAGTTGAAGTCCACAAGTCATAAAAGGGCCAAGTTTGAAGACCCCTGCCCAAGAAAAAGATGACCAGTAGGAAGGTGGATATATTGGTGGGAGCATTGTTGCAAGACCTGAAGGATTCCCCGGATGGATAGATTGTCATAGAGAAAAATCTAACAGAATAACAAGAGATGGAAGGGACCTTGGAGGTCTTCTAGTCCAACCCCTTGCTCAAGCAGGAGACCTTATACCATTTCAGACAAATGGTATCTACAAGCAGTTCTTGACTTGTGACCGATTGGTCATTCAAAATTACAATGGATCCCAAGAAAGAGACCTCTGCAATCCCCAAATGGTCACATAGCCACATTTTGGGTGCTCGTCAACCAACCTGCATATACGGCTGTTTGTAGCATCCCATAATCACATGACCATAATTTACAATTTTTTTTATTTTGAAACTGGCTCTTATTTCTGGTTTCTGGCAAAAAAAAAAATGCCCTACAACAAACAATGTGTTCGCTTAACAACTGATACAAAAGGGATTGAGTTGTGATTTAGGACAGCAATTGCAGGCTCAGTTATAGTCATAAGTTGAGAACCACTAGGAATCAACATTGATCCGATGGCATACAGGTAGTCCTTAACTTATGACCACAGTGGAACCCAAAATTTCTGTTACTAAGCGAGACAGTTAAGTGAGTTTTGCCCCATTTTGCCATTTTTCTTCTCACACTTGTTAAGTGAATCACTGCAGTTGTTAAGTTAGTATCACAATTGTTAAGTGAATCTGGCTTCCCCATGGACTTTGCTCGTCAGAAGGTCACAAAAAGTGATCACGGGACATTGCAACCGTCATAAATATGAGTCAGTTTCCAAGCATCTGAATTTACATGTGATCCTGGGAATGGTAAGTGTGAAAAACAGTTATAAGTCATTTTTTTTCAGTGCCATTGCAACTTCAAACATTCATTAAACAAACTTGTAAATCGAGGACTACCTATATAATCAATCACTGTCAGTAAAAATGTTATGATGATCACATATGTGTAACAGGAGACTTCTTGAAGAGAAGGTGGGCTCTCCATTTATGGAGCTTCTACAAGAGACCTTGACAAATGTTTTATAGGTAGTCCTTGACTTACATCCATTCGTTTAGTGACCATTTGAAATTACAACAGCATTGAAAAAAGTGACGCCTGTTTTTCACACTTACAACCGTTGCAGCATACCCATGGGTCATGTGATCAAAATTCAGACGCCGGGCAACTGGCATGCATTCCTGATGGTTGCCGCTTCCTGGGGTCACGTGGTCACCATTTGTGACTCCCCCAGCCAGCTTCTGACAAGCAAAGTCAATGGGGAAGCCGGATTTGCTGAACAACTGCATGATTCACTTAACAACTGCGATGATTTGGTTAACAGCTATGGCAAAAAAGGTCATAAAATGGAGTGCAAGTCACTTAACAATTGTCTTGCTTAGAAACAGAAATTTTGGGCTCAGCTGTAGTCCTAAATCAGAGTTAGGCAACCTTGGCTCTTTTATGACTCGTGGACCTCAACTCCCAGAATTCCCGAGCCAGCCATGCTGAGGGGAAAGGGAGAGGTTTCCAAGCTGAGCCATGCTGGCTCAGGAATTCTGGGAGTTGAAGTCCACGAGTCATGAGGGGGCCAAGGTGGCCTACCCCTGTCCTAAATCACGGACTATTTGTAACTGATTTTCCAGCACACTGTAGAAGCTGAAGTAGATTAGTGTTTCTCACTCTCAGAGATTTTAATATGAATCAATCAGAATAGAGCTGGAAGGGACCTTTAAGGTCTTCTAGTCCAACCCCCCCTGCTCAACAGAAAGCTCCAGACCATTTCAGACAAGTGGCTGTCCAGTCTTTTCTTAAAAACCTCCAGTGATGAAACACCCACAACTTCTGGAGGCAGGTTGTTCTACTGGTTGATTGTTCTCACTGTCAGGAAGTTTCTCCTTAATTCCAGGTTGCTTCTCTCCTTGATTAGTTTCCATCCATTGTTTCTTGTCCTGCCTTCAGGTGCTTTGGAAATTAAGTTGACTCCCCCCCTGCCTTGTGGCAACCCCTCAAATATTGGAAGACTGCTATCATGTCTCCCCTATTTCTTATTTTCCCTAGACTAGCCAAACCCAAATCATGCAACCGTTCCTCATGTGTTTAGTCTGTAGGCCTTCAATCATCTTAGTTGCTCTTCTTTGCACTTTTCCCCAAATTTCAACATCATTTTTGTAATGTGGTAACCAAAACTGGATGCAGTATTCCAGGGATGGC